GCGTACCGCCGGGGGCCTGGCCACCCTGCACACGTGTGTTCCCGGTGCTGCGGTGTGTGGATGCTCTGCTCCGGTATTCCCCGCCGGGATCAGGCCGTGCAGCTCCTCCGAATCCTGGCTTCTCTGCACCCCAGCTCCTCCAGGCAACAGGGTGCACGGCCACCCTGCGTCTTGGGTCCTCGGGTGGAGGGGAGTGTGGCTGCACACACAGCAACACCCCTTGGTGTCAGGACACAGCTGCTCCACGCTGACAGTGCCATGCTGCACCCCAAGACAACAACCATGTCCCCCCCAGTGTGGGGGCATGGCTGCTCACACCAGCATCTTCCTGCCTTCACGATGCACAGCTACACACGGATCCAGCGCTTGTGTGCACCCCTTGGGCATCAGGACACCCAAATTCATACTTCCCTCAGGAGCTGAGATGGGTGTACACGTGCCTCTAACCCTCAGGTGTCAGGGCACACACATAGGCACATCCATCAAGTTTTGAGGTGCACACACAAACACAGATGTGCACACGTGTCCTGGGTACAGGAGGCAGACACACATGCTGCCTGGATGTTGGGGACATAAAAGTGGCCAAGCTGGAATGGGTGTACACATATTTTTTCTTCCCTTTCTTTGAAACAGGAAAAGCTGCTGTCTCAGGGCTCCTATGCAAGATAAAAGGCATCAATGCAAGCAGCTGTTTAAAACAGGAACGAGGGACTTGTGTAGAGGTTGTTGTGAGATTTTATGTGCATATTTTGGATTTTCTTTGTTTCAAATAAACTTTTGGCATCTCTGGTTTCTACAAAATCTAAATATTTCACCTGATATTATGTTTTTAGAAGCTAAGTGGGATAGGAGTGTTATTGCCATAATTTTAAATTTAAGCAAGCTATTCAGTGTTAGCCTTCTGTGTTCACAGCCCAATCTGTGTAGCAATAAAGCTGACTCCATAGGCAACATTTGTAGGATAAGAACTTGGTAGTGAAGTCAAGCAGTACCTTAAAAGGTAGCATAGAATCTCTCCTCAATAGGTATTGTTCCCAGAAAATAAAAAATTGTGAAGTGTGATGGTCATTCCATATAGTGTGTCTGCATTTATCCTATATGTATATTCACAGTTTCATTAGTGGTATGTGGGACAATGTGGATCCAAGATCAGTTTTATCTGGAACAGGTATTCTAATATTGTGGGGCATAATGTTAAGAAAGTAGTTAAAAGTAGATTCTTTTGAGTGATGTTAGTTTTGAACTAATTTATGGTTGATGCTCCCAACTGGCAGTTCAAACACATGAATTTAGTCCCTGCTCTTCCAGAACTCATCATGGGTGCATGTTGCCCACAGGAGTGAATCAGTGTTCAGTTCAGGGCTTCCTGATTTGTGGGTGTCTGGAATGACTCCAGTAGTCTAGCACTTCCCTGAGGATATGGATTAGAAATAAGGCCCTAGCATCTCAGGTTGGGTGCTCTGGCTGCCTGTTTTAATAAACTTGAGCTTTTCCCATTCTTTTTTAGAAGTAAAGTGTATATTTAGATAGATAGTCATCATTTGTTACTCATTGTTCGTGAGGAACTTTACAATTGCTGGGTAAAAGATTTTATATAAGTGTAAAGCATGACTCATTTCATTATTTTGAAAATTAAATATACACCCAGTTTTAGGTGCAGTTTAACAGTCAAGTCATGAGAGTCTCTTGAAAGCAAAGGAATTTGCTTTACAGTGTTATCCCTGCAACTCCAGCTTACTTTTGCTGCTGATGAAGCTGGTTCACAAAAAACAGCATCATGATTGTCTCTTTCCTCTTCAAAGTTTGTTGCAAACAATAATCCTCACAGAGAGTGTTCTAAATGTTAGTTTGCTACCTCCATTTAAGAAAGGGGAGAAAATGGTGATAGTTCACAGGTTTGAGTTGCAAAAATGAGGACTGAGATTGTGTTCTATCTCCTAGAGCCGTGTTTGCTCTCATATGTCTCTTTCATCTTCAAAGTTTGCTGCAAACAATAATCCTCACAGAAGAGTGTTCTAAATGTTAGTTTGCTACCTCCATTTAAGAAAGGGGAGGAAATGGTGATAGTTCACAGGTTTGAGTTGCAAAAATGAGCACTGCAGGACTGAGATTGTGTTCTGTCTCCTAGAGCCGTGTTTGCTCTCCAGTGAGTAGCCGTGTTTGCTCTCATAGAATCATAGGGGTTGGAAGGGACCTCGAAAGATCATCTAGTCCAGCCTCCCTCCCCAGTGAGTGTTGGTGCTCACTTGAAGAGAGCTTTTTAAAAACTCTTGAATTTATTAGGTGGAGTTTACCCCCTATCTTCTGGGACAGCTTGTGTTCCTGTGGCACTCCAGTAGCTGTGACTTGTGCCTCACCTCTGAGATCAGAGATTCTCTGCTCCAGGCAGCTCTGTACCCTGTCTTCCAGCAACAGCCTTATCTGAAATGCCCTTTTAAATGCGCGTCTTCAGGAGCCACTGCTCAGCTTCTAACAAAGGAACAGGTTTGTGCCTCTGCCTGGGGCCAAAGAAGGCACCATTTCCAATAAATACACCAATAAGGTATTTACCAGCTACTTAACTTTGAGGGTCATCTCAGCTGCAGCTCTTCTTCTGGTGGTTGTTTCTTTGTGAAGTTTCCTTTCCTCCACCCTGCCTCCACAAGGTGAACCGATTCAATACGTTATTTGCAGGCATAGGGACGAGCAGGTTGATTGTTGAAAAATGCTGTGTGAACTCTTTTTCTGTAATCCAGACAGGCACCTTCATGAAGATGTTTCTCCCAAAGGAAGTTCAGATTTTCTTTCTTTTTGATACCTTTTGACAGCTTTATAGCTGAAGGTAGATAGCTGTCTTCTAGATCTCCTAGTTAGTAATTAAGAGTGAAAAGGTGACTTCTGAGGCAGGAAGAGGTTTGCATTTCCAGCTGTAGTGCCACATTTTTAGTATGTCAGAGAAATATTTTAGTATTTCACTGTATCAAAAAGAGGCAAATTAAAGGAAGTGCTTTTTATGAGAAAGAAGCAAAAAACATTTGATGTTGGAGTCCCCTGTCATACATTGTAGAAAATCAATTAAATACATCAGCTTTCTTGTCCTGCACATTTTTTTGGTGATTGAGGGGTATTCTGTCACCTGGAAAAGAGAAGAGTAATTCCTTTAACAAATCGTTTGAATTACAATCTGTAATGTTGTGTGTAATCTGTGGTGTAAAGGGAAGGGGTATTATTTGGGAGGTGTGCTTGCAGAAACTGCATAAAGATTAGATAAAAAAAACCAGTGAAATTCTTCTGCTTCAAAGAAAGGGAAATTGTGAATGTTGTACAAAGAATGTGGAGCTGTACCCTTGCAGTGTACAGTTGCCAGAATTTGGAACTGAAATATTTGCAGGCTGTTTGTTTCCTGCCACTCATCATTTTTCCTGAGTTGCACTTTCATTATATTTTTCCTCTTGAAAGATGCACTATTTAACTTTTCCTTTTTTAGTGTTATATTTAAGCAATACAGGAACATATGGCAGTTACTTTCCTATTTACACTGTACAATGTTTTCCTTATGCACACTGTCTTTTTGCTCTTTTTTCACTCTTTTCTGTGTACCAAGACAGACCCAGCCTTCTTGAGCAAAGAAACACGATTGAAAAGAAGGTGAAGAGGCAGCTGCCACGTGCACTGACATTAACAGTGGACAGTGTGTGGTTAACTCGTCAGATCTGTGGCTAGTAAAATGGTTTGTGAGGGGTTAAATCCCAGTGGGCAAAAAACTGCCTTAGGAACAGACATATATGTAACTGTGTGTGATGGTACTGTTTGCACTGGAGTTGATTGTGCCTCTTTGCTGCCTTGTGGGCATTTTTGGGACACTCCTGACAGTGTGATGTGCTTGTTCATATGCAGGGGGCTGGCATCTTCAGCTGGCAGAGCTCGTGAAGACAGTTGGTTAAAATCCCTATTTGTGCGCAAAGTGGATCCAAGGAAAGATGCTCACTCCAACCTCCTAGCCAAAAGAGAGACCAGCAGTCTGTATAAACTACAGAGTGAGTGGGACTTTTTTATAATTAACATGACCAGTTCTTTGTTCTGTTCCTGCCTTGCTGATGTGATGTTTTTGTTCCAGTTCACAATGTAAAACCAGAATGTCTAGATGCCTACAACAAGCTTTGGTAAGTGCACCTACTATGTTTTCACCTTTTAGATGTGTTGGTTTGATAGCAAGCTGTTCTGAAAATTGGCAATTATTGTAATTATTTAGAGGGGAGGTGGAAAAATTCTACTTTTACTTTCAGGGTATAGTGTTAAATAGGTCATACTGTTCCTGGAGAGAGATGGCAAAAGGGATTTTACTCAGTTCAGCCCTTGCCTTCCCTCTTGGACTTGTCATTTTCCTAAGTTGCAGTTTAGAATGGTGCCTTTTGTGAAAACATTGGTGACATTTGTTGGAGAGCTGTTGCTCTCCCCCTTCCCTTAGTTGTCTTGCAATTGCTGGTCCACGTGGGTAGATCCTGGTTTGTGAGCATGTCCCACTACAGATGCCATGTAGGAGTGTGGGGAGGGTGATTATTTCTGCATAGAGGGAGGAAAGGGAGAGATCACTGGTAAGTAAAACTATATGCCAGTATTAAACTGAAGGATAACTTTGAGGAGATTTTTAAAACCCATGGGTTGACTTTCTATCAGGTCATCTATGTCCTTCAAAAGTAATGTTACTGAGATGTACTTAAAAAGCTGCACAAATCCTTGGGTAGGATCTTTTCATTGGGGTAATATCCTCCAAAGGGAACAGAACTGTTCCAGGTGTTCAAAAAAATTACAGCTTTATAAAATGTATGAATTGTTACCATGTAAAATTTACTACTTTAGGGACTAAACTGCAGAAATATTAGTCCTGTTCTGCCTACATAATCACTCCTATAGAGCCAGAACAACTGCCTTCTCAAGAACTGTATGTTTAAATTTGGAAATGTAGTGAGCCACACATGCTTTGAAGCTGCAGTGCTTTCTCACTGACAGTGATCATCTTGTCAGTTAAAGACAACACTCTTAATTTAATGATGCCCTACTGCAACCAGTTTTTAAGGCATGGTGTATTGGTGAGAACACCAGCTGGGCTGTAGGGTGGGGATCTTCACAGCTCCCAGTTATGTCCTTGACTGTTATTGGGTGGATGCACAGTTATGAGCAGGTCATCTAGCTTCTCTGTGCCTTCATGTGTCCAGCTTTGAAGGGGGGCTTGATAACCCAAAATTGTTTTCCTTGCTATACAAATGTAGAAATCCACTAGAATTACATGCAATCATAAGGTTTTTTTAACTTTTTTTTAAAAAAAAAAAAAAAAACATAAATACCCAGAGAAGCACAATTAGCATTCAATGAGCTTTCTGTCTAAAAGCTTAATATAAACATGTCCAATTATGCAAGGCAGGGAACCACTTCTCCACATTATCTCCTGAGCTTCCTAAATGTTGTGTGAAAGCAGGGACTTTTATTTTTAAGGAGAGAGACAATAGCAAAGAAAGAAACTGCTGGCAGCAATCAGATGAAATATCTGTGGTTAGATTTATTCTTTCCAAACCAAAGCAGACTTAAGTATTCCAGGGAAGAGGAAAACTTAAGAATGGAGTAATAAAAAAAAACTAAGCCTCTCTGATTTCCCTCCTTCCTCTCCCTAAATTAAAGATGAGCAGGTTAATTCCTTATTCTGTATGAAATCAGAATAAGAATTAGTCATCATGCATTAGTAAAGAAATAATGCATGAAGACAATTAAGAGAGCACTTCATGAATTGCTGTGGTTAAGGATGCCTGTTGAAGAATGAGGAAGGGTTATTTTTAAACAGGAAAAAGGTGGTGTTCATACAGTATTCTGTGGGTGATTTTTTTTCTATAATTTGCAATGAAAAATATTTTAGGGTTATTGTAAGAATTTAACATTCCTTTTAAAGCTGCCTTTCTATGATCTCATTATGCTTTGCAAAAGTGAATGGATGGTGAAATGTCCTTGATAAAAAACATTCATGGAGTGTCATTCTATCATATTATTTACACCAAGTAGTGACAAATCTTGAGGTACAAATTAGGAATGAGATTTGCTCAAGGTTGTCTAGAACATCAGTGACAGACTCAAGAGGAAAACTAGTATGTAATGACCCTCAGCCCAAGATCAGCCTAATTCCTACTGTTTGATATTGTGCAGAGGCTTATTGCCTATGGAGCACACTAAGAAGGGTAATTATTCAGGGAAAAGTATTAAAAGGCAAAGTTCAACCAGACTAATTGACTTACTCCTCAAAGTACAGTGCAGTGAAAGCTGTCTTAACCGACCTGTTGGCAATCAGTGAAACTTAATTCCCTAATGCAAATGTAGGCCACTTTGAAAGTTTGAAAAAATGTTGAAAATAATCAGAAAATTTGCATTGGAGGTATTTTTAAGGCAGTTTCACTGTATGCTTTAATGGGTAAGTTGCCTCAAGTTAAAAACTTTCTGAAATGATAGAGAGCAATAACGCTGCATACTATGGAGTACAGTCATCATTTGATCTATCAAAATACTTGGTTTTATTCATTCAGCTCAACAGAATTAATGTTATTGTAACTGGTACAGAAGACTGGCCTTTCCTATTTTTGTGTATTCTGCCTCCCTTGGTAAAGAAAACCTTTTCCCAAAGCAAATCACCCATGTAGTTAGGCAGCATTTTCTGTAAGTGAGACATTCTGATATTTATTTTCCTAATGTGTTGGCTAAGCTTTTAGTAATAAATATAATTTATTGCATCAGAAGACTCCTATCATGCTGCATATGTCAATCAATCCAAGAAATGGTAAAGCTTACCTTAATTTTTCATAGTTTTGTAGCTGTCTTTCCCTGTGTAGCAGATTCTTGTATTTCAGCTTTCTCTTCTGAAAAGTAGAGCTTGTGAATTTTCATACCATAATGATAAACGTGTGGTGATTTGTTATACATCTCAACTATAGCCTCCCTGGAGGAAATGCAACATAGTGTCTGTATTCCTTGTTTTCAAGTCAAGAGGTGCTGCCAAAGATTCATGAAGAAAAACACTACCCATGTGCACTGGTGGGGACTTGGAACACGTGGTACGGAGAGCAAGATCAGGCTGGTAGGAGATAGAAGTACAACAGAACGTAAAACCATACAAGTGAAACGTGTGCTTGGCAGGTTTCTTCTCTTTAAATCATCTCTGTTGACAATAAACCTTTAGCAATGTATACAGTGAGGGTGTGTGTGCATCAGTTCTAGTCATATTAACATTTACAGTGCTTGCTTTTTGTCTTGTTGAGTATGACAGTAAAGCATTAATTCCTAAAATTTGTCCAATTGTTAATGCACTTTCATGTTTTCCAGGTGGTAGAGGAACAGTTTGGGGAAATGCTTGTAAAATGTGGTCCTGTAGTATTTTGTGGGCACAGATCATGCTCTTGAATATTTAGGGTAAAGGCAAAGCTTACAAAGACAGAGTTTGTCTTGCGTTGGCCACTTCAAAGGCTTAGGAAAGGGGAAGTAAAAATATTTCTCTTCACGTCCATATAAGTATGGTGCCTAACTATGAAAATATCTTGGAACTAGAAATTACTGAAGAGCTACTACAGAGGTAACTACAAAGAGTCTAGTGTAGAGAGGAAACCTGAAAAATTTCCAGGGCTCTGGGAAATTGAAGGAGTGAGATGCCATGAATACAGAGGGGTGTACAGGTATTTGTTACGTGGCTCTGTTGTTAGAGCCATGCTCCTATCAAGGTCACTGTTTCATTTTTGAAAAATCTACTCATGTACACGTTACTTTTTCCTGCATTCACAGCATATTGCAACCTTGACACTGAACAAATGTGAAGGAATAACAGTAGGTAAACCAAATGATGTCTAGGAAGCTATTTGGAAATTTGAAGGGAAATTGGGAAATGAAAATGATTGAAATTAAAATATCTTAGCTAGGTCTCATCCGTTGCTTTTTTAACATACTAACACAGACTGTATCTGCAATTGCATCCATAACCTGCCTCGAAGATGTTGTTACAACAGTTGTAGCAGTGTAATAAAGCAGATTATGGGGTTTGGACTTGTTCAGTACTTGTGCCCAGGCTGTATTAGTATTAGGTGCATCTATCAAATTTGCCCTGAGAATAAGACAGCAGAAACAGGCGCACTGGGTAAAGCTGCTGTCACAGTGAAGTGCCTTACCTAAGTCTGCAGCTGGCCCTCCTGGAAAAGGCACAGGGCTGTTTAGAGGAGAGAAAATAGGTTTTGTGACTCTTTGAGGTGGAATGTTGTTGCCTTGCTGTATTAAGTGCTTGTAAAGAAATCTCGTTATGATTTACTAAAGAGACAATGTTTTGAAAATAACTGACATATAGCTACCTCTTGTTTTTATGGTGGAAATCCTAGCAAAGGTAATGATTCTAGCATGTTCAGCTATCTTTGCTTTTTTTCACTTAATGTTTATCTCAGAAATAACATTTGTGTCATTTTTCATGTCCTGCAGAAAGTGTGTTGCTCTTTGTGCTCGAGTAATTTACTGAAGTAAAATGTCTGCCCCTCTACTGCTCTGACATTAAATATGAATTTAAATAAGTCATGCTCTTAAATGGAATCTCAATTTCACCTGCAGTCATCTAAAGTTATCACATTTTACTAGCATGGCAACAAAAAGTCCTTTCAGAAATCTCCCTGTTATCTTCAGAGTAGATGGCAAAATTCTCCAGGAGAACCCTTTTCAAAAAGCAGATTACTTCATTATTCTTAAAATGTTCAAATGTGTAGTGCTTGCTTTAATGAAAATCTATTTTTAAACCTATTACCTGATTTCTGGTTTTGTGTAGTTCTGTAGTATGAAGAACATTTTAGACTGTGATATTCCACAAGACTTGGCACTGGCCTGTGGCATCTCTGAAACAGCTTCCTTTTCTCTGTTTCAGTTCACCTGTGGAGGTATGAGGGAGGGTATCCAGCTCTCAATGAGGTCATGAATAAACTCCGTCAAAATAAGGTAAAAAGCGTCGATTTTGTTAGAATCAGTTGTTTGACTCAGAAGAGAAGAATAGTCAGAACAAAAAACTGCACCTTTGGATACCACTTTTACTTCAATATCTCATCACTGCCTGTGCAAACTTAGAAACCTCTTTGGAAAAGGGATTATTCTTCTCTTCAGAAATACTGAGGTTTAATACCTGAATACTTTAGGAAACATTTACACTTAGTAAACACACCACTTGGAGTTTTCAAATATGCCAGGGAAGTTTAGAAGATGCCTTTACAGTTTAAAGGATCTCAATGTCCCAAAACCCCAAGATAGCATTTAAAGAAAAAAATAAGTCTAAGCCACTGTATGTTATACTGCTTTTTGTTGTTGAATGATAATACACAGTTTGACAGTGATCACATTGTTTTTTAGGAATTCACAGAGTTTCGCAAAGAAAGAGGCAACATGCTTCTCTCACGCAAGAACCAGTTACTGCTGGAGTTCAGTTTCTGGAATGAACCTGTTCCCAGAGAGGGGCCCAATATTTATGAACTGAGGTCCTATCAGCTTAGAGTAAGTTTTCTTTTTTTTTTTTTTTTTTTTTAAGCTCTGTGCTGTCATAAAATGTCCAAAGCATGTTTATACAATGTGGATGGAAGTTAGACCTCATCTTAAAAACATGGTTCTTATCAAAGCTGATGGCTGAGTCATAGTTGCTCTCAAAGTGTGGGGTCCAGCACAGGCAGGCTCCAACAAGATACTAGTATCTGCAGGGCTGAAAACCTTGTTTTCATTTGAAGGAAACTTCAGGCAGATGACTCAGAAGCAATAGAGTAAGTAAACAGAATAATTACAGATGATTATCATATGCTTATCACTTAAAGGAGGTGATTTTGTTAATATGTAGTGTTTTCCATATGTAAATGTTGTGAAAGTTGTACATGTATTCTAATATTCTTTAAACTACAGGTTTAACAGTCTGTTTTGTTTTTGTAGCCTGGGACAATGATCGAGTGGGGAAATTACTGGTAAGTGTTGCTTTAGCACTTTACATTCTCCTGTTGGAGAGATGTGTTTAAAAATCATGAAGTTGAGGTGGCAAAATTGTACCAAAGCATTTCAGTCACCCAGTTAATGGCCTGCCTCTGTGCTTATGCAACTTGTATGGTAGTTCTTTGACCCTTAATTTAGCCTTTGAGGAAAGAAAGAGGAATTCTGTGTGCAGATGTTGTGGGCTCTGTGGTTTGGCTTTCCTTCACATAACCCTGTTAGTTTGCTGTAGTTTTGCAGAAACCATTTATTTTCAGCAGAAAGTGCTGCTTAGTGAAGAGTGGCAGAAAACTCCTCGAGACTACATTCATCTTTCACAGCTATCACAAGACTAACAGAAACTGACTTACTTTCAGTTTACATGGGCCAAATCTTGGCTCTTTGGATTGTTAAAAGTCAATTTGCTTCTTGGAGAGCTATTGAGCTATTTGTATTCTAATATATAGGTTAAAAGCATTTGAGACAGTCTTCTGTGTCGTATATGCTTTTGATTTTGTCTGATTTAAAACCAGTCTAAGTTTCTTTCAATGTACATGCACTGTTCTTGCACTTCTGATGGATGGTAGTTAAACAGTTTGGAGGTTTTTTCAATTATTTTGACAAAAATGAGGACTTGGATTTTTTGGTGTGGCATTGTCGTTGATAAAATTTAATTACAGTAACTTGAATAAAGTAAATTAAATTTAGAATTTTTATGAAACAGGCATGTCTATCATGGTAGCCAATCTGGTTTAGAAGACACAACAGATTTATAGTTAAGAGAAATACTGATCTTATTTACAGCACAAATCATGGAGTGTTGTGCAGGACAGCTGCACAGCAAAGGTCTGTGTAAATAAAAAAAGCTGTATTCTACTGCCACAAAATCTGTGAAAAATGAGTGTGGCAATGACGGTACCACTGACACACAAGGATTTAGTTTTAGAAGAGCCTGCTATAAAAACAGCCTGCCACTTTACACTGTTCCAGCACTTATCTTGATACTGCATCTAACGTTGAAGAATGATTAATGCACAGTCTAGTGAAACTGTAAGCCTCCAATTTTAACTCATTCTAACAAGATATATAGATCCACTTTAATTACTTAGCACTGAAAACCAGCATATTACAGACTTTTTTCTTATTTTTAATTACTGAAGCATACTGCAAATGCTGTTTAACAGTCTGGCTTCCTTTCATCTGTTTTCCTTTCAGTTACCACTTATTTCCTCCCCAGGTCTGCTGGTTTTAATGGTTACTTTGCTCTCCTGCAGGGCTCGTGCAATTCGTTTCCGACAGGATAACAACGAAGCCGTTGGAGGATTTTTCTCACAAATTGGACAGCTGTATATGGTTCATCACCTTTGGGGTAAATTTGTGTTCTTCGCTTGTTTCTCACTGAATCAGCCCCTTATGGCCTGTTGTCTTTGCCCAAGAAACAAGGTTTTTACAAAAGGCAAAGGAATGTCTTAAAATGTTTTTTTTTTTTGTTTTGCATCAACAGTGTTGATTTTAATTTTTATGTAGGTTCTTCAAGCCAGCAGGCAGAAATAAACATGTCATGTTTTCTTCTGTTTCCATCAACAGTTTCTCATGGCCCTCTCTAATTAGAGAGTGCTTGTTTGCTTTTAATAACAAGCATGACAAGCCATGTCCTGCCATCTCTTTTCTCCATCCCTATTCGTGCTCTAGTCAGGTTTTTACAGTTCAGTTTCAAACATCACATACACCACACCTATAAAAAAAACAGTCAAGCATTTATTTACGTTACTACATCATGATGCTTTGGCTTTCTCTGTGTGTTAGTCTCCACAGCTGCTTAGCTTCTTTTCAAATGTTAGGATTGTTTCAATTTTAAGAAACTCATTGTCTAACATTGGTTTTAGAAAATATGCAGCATTAACTTAATATCTCAACAATGCAGAATATTATATTCCAGCATTAGAAGTCTGACACCATATATATAAAACTGTACTCTGTTGCATTATCTGTCTTACCTGTGTCTAAGACATTCTCTCTCTTCCCCAGTTCCTTCTGTTTGCATTGGTTTGGAAGCTTTTCCTCTTTGTGGAGAAGAACCTCTGATTTCTTTCATTCCCAGTGTTTTCAGCCTCCTAATTATGCACTAGAACACTTTTCAGGGAGCTGTTGTTGCATAGAAGGAAAAGGAGTTGCTTCTGAGCTTTGTGCTTGTTGTTTCCCCTCACCAGCTTACAAAGATCTCCAGACCAGAGAAGATATAAGGAATGCTGCGTGGCATAAACCTGGCTGGGATGAACTAGTCTATTACACAGGTAACCTATTAACTTCTTTGGAATGCTGTGGGTAGACTTTTGTTCAAACCATCCTTTTTGGTCTTTGCACACTGATAGGAAGTTTTGGATCTCTGGTGTGTGTGCCCCTACGTGTCAGTTTTCCTACTGTAGGCTAAAGGAGGGACATTTACTAAGCTGAGAAGTGAATTTTGCAATTGATCATACAAACTTGGAAAAGTTGCTTCATTGCTAAATAATTGCTAGATAAATTGTAAATGTTTATACAAGCACCTCTTCTGTAGAGAGCAGATTTGTGTAAATGGGTACATTTGTGCCCAAGAATTTAGGGAGCCAACAGCGAAATTTATCTTTATATTAAATTATTACCTCTAATTTTTCATTAAATCCAGGAACTTTGTTAAATGCATTCCTCCAAAGAGGGAATTTAGACTTTGGAATGAGAAGCCAGAGATGTTTGAGATCAAAGATAACTTCCATGGCAAAACTCACAAAAGTATGCCAAGCATGTCAGATTTTGGTTCCATAGGTTACATTTCAAAGGAAGTATACCAGAGAAATGTAAGATCATTTTCATTATGGTGAAAAGGCACAGAAATATTTCTCTTCAAAGGAGCAGACAGATTATATTAAAAAAAATCACTTGTTCTCAAAACTACTGTACTTCAGTTACAGGAATGTTGGTGGTTACCAAAGCCTTGGCATGCACTAGCTAGGAGAGGAATTTGAGGACAAAAATACCTGTTCAAACTGAGTATGCAGAACTGCTAATGATCTCTGTTAGTGAAATTAAACCCTGTCTCATTTCTTTTTCAGTGCCACTTATTCAGGAAATGGAGTCCAGAATCATGATACCATTGAAGATTTCTCCGCTTCAGTAAAGTCACTGATTTACTTGTGCCTACATAGATGAAGTGACAAGTATTTGTCTTAAATTAATTTATGGTATACATTGTATATCATAGTCTGAAATATAAAAGTACTGTATTGAGCTTATAAAAGAGACCTCTTTTCTTCAGAATCTAATGACCTTTTGCTCTTGGGATTCTACCAGAAAAAAAGGAATCTAGGACTGTAATTAAAAGGTTGGTTAATTGAAAACAAGTACAAAGACATAAATGAGTTCCTCTGTGAGACAGCTCCTCAGGTTAAGTATGACATACAGTATTTAATGCCTTCAGCTCTACAGGCAGTGCCCAGAGTTCAGTGACAGTGACAGAATGGAGCATTACAGTTGCTGTGGCCTTTCTGTAGCATTATAATGACTGCAGATTTTAAAAACAAACATGGGAGTTCTGACATTAGAAGTTCTGAAGCCCTCAGGCAGCACCGAAAGACACGTAGCTTTCTAGCAGGCCTGAAGTCAGTGAGAAGCTCTTAATTTACAAATAGGCAGTAATTAATTGAGGCTACTACTTTTTGTCAGGTGGTAGCTTCTGGGCAGAGAACAGGCTGTTGAGTTTCGGAAGGACTCTGAAGCCTGTTGAAACTAATGGCACATTTGTGGAGGTATCTACCCCTGCAACTAATGTTGTGAAGTATGACTTAACAGTTTTCAAAGAGATCCTGACAAGATGTGGTTATCTGAACATTCTGTGAGGGATCGAGTTCAGTTAAATCCATTTATCTCCACAAATAACTCTGAGGTCTAGGAAAAGGGGTTTAATTTAATAAGCAATTGTGACTTCAGACATATGCTTGGTCAGGTGTTTCACTAACTGTGCAGTAGGTACTTACAAATCGATGTGTGAAACTGCCGCATGTTGAGTCAATAGGATTGGCATAAAGTGGTGTTCCATTATGGCCAGTTCTGTTTTGGTTTCACTTTTAGACTAGACTATATCAACACTTTTGGTGTCTGCAATGATGTGAACATCCTGTAAGTGACAATAATATTCTCTCTTTAAAGTGGCTACAAGAATCAGTGTAACATACAGAATGTACAAATCAGTTACTGAATGTCCAGTTTGTACATTTCAATGAGTTTTCAGGAAGAACATATCAGTCAATAAAATCCTTTTAATTTTCACATTTAACTGGCACCTTATATGTATTGCACCACCTGTGTTTTCTCTCATCTTGCAGTGTTTATTATGGAAAATTTGAATAATTGCATAGCTTATTTCAGCTTAGTGAGCCAATATCAGTTCTCTGTGTCAGGGACAGCCTTTCCCAGTATTCTGCTCTCCTCCAAAGTGAATTTACAGTATCTCCATTACATCTCATTTCACTAAGTGTTCTAGAAGTTCTAAGTGCTGTGGTGATAAATAGAAAATGTTTTCCCTTTTGATTTTTCTCCACAAGTTATGCTTAATTTTTCAGGTCTGATTTCTTGGTTTCTTCCCATGTGAAATGCACTGCACTTTTGCCTTTGCTTGAGTTTCATCTTGGACAAAGTCAATATTTGATTTGATTCTTGTCTGTAGATTTTCTTCCTGTTGTCAACTGATCATGGAATTTTACCAAGTAAAATTCTGTACTGGATTAGCTTAAAGTTCTCAGCTTGGCTTAGTGTGCCAAGTACATAATTTCAGCTGTTCCTCCTTGTAAATCAGTCATGAGCAGTACTATGATCTGGGGCTGTCATTTTTCCAGACTTTTGGGACTGCTGCTGAGCTGCAAAAGGAAAGAAAGGATGACTATGTCAGCTTCCAGTCCTTGTTATATCTCCCAGTATCCCCCCATATTTCTTGTTCCTAGAGAACTGTCCTGCTCATAACCAGCACTATTAAGTCAGAGACGAAAGGCTAAAAACATTCTTGGAGCTCCAGAATTTTGTGGGTTCTGATGCAATCCGTGTTTCTTGCCTTCAACCAGGAGCACTGGGAATTAAATTCAGTCAGGCAGAGCTCTTGTTGTTTAAGGACCATCAAGTTTTGCATGAGTAAGAAATCTAAGGAATAACTGGACATTCTGTGAGGTGACATCATAGGCCACAAGTCTTTTCAATCTTTATACACTACCTATAGCTGAATTCCCACTAGTGGTGCTGAAATCTGTTATGAATGTGCCTCCTGTTCTAAGCTTCAAACTTGTGCTCTGGCTGTCATCAGAGAGAGGTTACTTCCTGTTATTTTAGTTACAGGTAACAATGTAAACTCATCAAACATAACACAGGAGATAAGTAATGCCAGTCTTTTCTTGCTTCCCTTTGCCTGAGACCTTTCTGAAGTTAGTTTGCTCCTGTTAGGAATTTTCCGCCTTAATTTCGTGGCCAAGCCTGCCTCCTTCCTTTGACGAGCAGTACTTCAGCATTCTTCTAGCAGAAATTGTCAAGTTCAGAACTGAAGTCACTTTCTAGTGGTTGGAAGGTGGGGAACAGTGCCTGGAATTGTCTCTGGTAATTGTCAATTCTTGTTCCACTGTAATGAAGACACAATTAAAACTCAAGTTTAGGTGTCCTATAGTCTTCCTAGGAAAGACTGAGAACTTTTTTTAAGAAGTCCCCTCATGCAATGTATAACTTATATACATATCATATATGAATATATAACTTAAAGCAATTCTGCCTCACTGAATAACCACATTGAAATAAAAGGTTTATACAAAGGAATGGGTCCCCTCTGCTCTTAAGAGACCCATCTCCAGACCAAGTATTATTTGCCTGATATATGCCACTCTCCAGAATCTGCTCTACTGTGATGGGATGTGTTCAGGTAAATTGGTAGCTTGGCTGTAACATTGAAACTCATCTCATGCTGTTTTATCCCCTCTTATTTTTCTCCAGTATTGTACAGACAAAAGAGCTTAGCCACTGAGTAATCCTTTTGGTACCTCCTGGACTAGAGGTCAGGCTTGATATTTGCCCAGTGGAAGGGGGGGTGTATTTTTTTCAGACCAGTCAGACCTAAAGAGCTCTTGTGAAATCACTGGCACGAGGCCATGTTTCCATAGTGCTCAGACTGGCAGAGGATCCTGCTGTGAATGTTAACATCTCTGTGGCACGGAGCCTCCTGCACGGCCACCTGACTGTGGCATTAATGAAATCACATACACTTGAAGTGAAACATGTCACACAGTTGGGAGGATCAGGGCCTGTAGTCTGTAGCTACAGCTGATTACCTGAATGTTAGATTTTTTTATAGTGCCCTTTAAATTGCATAGAAAACTGCAGCAGACTTCTGCCTCATAACTAGACTTGCAGAGGAACATGCTGAATGAGAGCAGAAGGAGTTTTCACTTGTTCCACTCAGGCAGTCTTGACTGAACAAAAGCATGATTGTGCATGAGCTGCCCTTGGAGCTGGCTGAGTATTTTCTCAGGAAGAGTTTAAAAGGGATCATCTTTAATACTCCCAGCAGAGCTCTGGTGAGCAGCCTGCCAACTACTGCCTCTCTTGGCTTTTGTGAAGCCTCTTAAACTCTATACAGATACTCAGGATAGCTGTTTAGATCTGCCTTCCTCTAAAATGCTATCAGAAGTTTGCTTCTGGATTTGTTTTCTTTTAACCCTTCTGCTTCTCTAGTATTTAAATGCTGTTATAATTCAAGCAATTATTGCCTCAGGTTTTTTTGCCAAAAACACTAGATGGCATCACTGAGAGCTGCCCTTATCACCCTCTGGGGCTTTGTTAATGCCCCTTTCCCCTGTATCCTTTCTGATGATGACACAGGATGGACAGAATCAGTGTTTGTCTTAATGGTAGGTGATGCTTAAACAATTGGACAGGAGCTCTCTCTGTGCACCTTGATTTAATCTGATTAAATTAAGGAAATGCAGTGAAAGTTGTGAAACCCCATGACCATCTTGTGTGAGATTTTGGAAGGTAGGCACATCACTTGCTTCTCTTCCTATCTATGAAATTAGAAATTAGTGGAGAATTAGTGCACTCAGCCTGATCTTCAGTTCCCAGAAAAAAGTGGGACTCTTTGTAACCACCCAGAAGGTAAGAACCTGCATAGATTTTTTTTTCCCCCTAGGACAAATGTACCCATCCTTCTGTGATGGTATTACCTGGATGGAAGGAAGTGGAAGTTGTGACATATCTTTTAACAGTAGTAAAGCTTCTCACATTATCCACTCATAACTTCCATACAGTTACAGCTTGTTAGGGATGGATTGTTAACTAGAATAGTTAATTAAACAGTGTGACTGTTTTACAAACTTATCATTTTGGAGTTTAGTTTAAAGTTTTAATGAAGTATGTGAGCCACTATATCATTTGCCTTAAAATACACTTCTTGGGCACTGATAAATATTGCATATGTCTCAGCCCTGCCTGCATCTCATGTCTATGGGTTGAGTAGCAGTGATGTTGAGGTCTCAGGATCTCCTGTAGCCAGATTTTAATGAAATCAGAGACACTTGGTAACGTTTCCTACCTATCTGTTCACTGTTTAACCTGCTTCTGAGATTCTTAGGAATGGAAAGTACTTACCATACCGTTTACCTTTTAGACTATATTATTATTATTACTGATTAGACAAACTTCTTGTTTGTGGCCCTTTCTTGTTTTGCCACCCAAAATAAATAGAGGTATTAGCTTCAATGATTCTGAAATGAGATATGCAATATTGACCAGGGGCAAATCCATTCAGGTATTTTAAACTTACTGATAATTTCCTGCCTTTGGTCTTCACTTTTCAGTGACTAATCAACTGACTTCTTCCATCTTGGAGAAGGGGTTTAAAAAACCTTAATCATTTTCATTACAAAATACTTGAGTAGATTGGTGCCATTTGCAACGTGAGTTTCAGGCCAGAGATGAAGGTACCCAACATCCAGAATCATTAAAAAAAAAAATCCAGAACGCAACTTTGCAAACAAATATAGTTTTTAATTGCATTGTATAATGGATTTACAGTTGTTAAATATATTATTTTACTGTATAATTTATCGCTCCTCCAGTTCCTTTAGCAATTCGTCAAAGTGAGTAATGTACCATTTGGCTTTCTCCTTTACTTGCTTTCTGATTACATTGCCTCCAAATCCAATGAAGCAGTCCTGGCAAAACAGAAAGAATGTGCACGTAGATTATTGCAGTCCCATGTAAGGAATGGAGCTTCTCAGCAGTTAAGTTTTGGTTTTAAGACTGGATTTTAAAATTTTGCTACCCCTCCTTGCCTCTTCCCCTACTTCACTTTGCATGTTTATTTTTCAAACTTGTTAACAGGAGCTTCATTAACATTTAATTTTGCACCACTTTGGTTATTAGAGTTTTGTTTCAGTAGGGAAGTTGCATCTCAGTGCCTTGTAACTTCAGGATTGTTCAGATCTGAGATTTTACTGAAAATCTGATGTCAATGTGATGCAACATTAGGCCTTATGATTCCAGAATGAGTTAACACTCAAACATGCACACAGCATCTCACCACTATCCCTGTACTGGTTATCTTAACTGTGTTTACCTCATTTCATAGATAGCAGAAGTAAACGTTAACCATGGCTCCAATCATTAACCAGGAACCATCATCATTTCTACATCTTAGAAAACCATCTGCAGTGAAAGTGCAGTGTTTGAAATTTCCACTGCTGTTTTTCTAAGAAAATGCTAAACTGCCTTGGTCATGTTAAACATGTGTTTAACAGCAAGGGGCCAGCTGGGATACTTCAGTCAGCAGCAGCTCTCAGAGTTTGTTCCTGTGCATTTCCAGGCACTGGAGTATCTGTCCCTCAGCACTGGCAAAGAAGAGGTATTGGGGTACTTTGATGTAGAGAAAGGTGCTAAAGGGGAGAAGGAATTAAGATCTCTTTCTTCTCTCTGAAATGTTTCTGTTCTTTTTTTTATTATTTCATGCTGTCAGAGCTGATATCTTCAAAGGTCTCATCAGCATATGGTGAGGTGAGCCCTCCTGCTAGGCCAGTACCAGGTAAATGTCCTCCAGACCTGTGCCAGCCCTTACTGCTGAGCACCATTAATCAGTGTTCAGAACCAGAGTGAGACCTGTGCAGAAGCAAGCACTGTGGGGACATAGAGGGGGAAGGCAGATGTGGTGACATCAGCTCAGTTTGAGACAGGTCACTAGACTGTCACAGAGTCCTGGTGGGCCCAGCCACCATCCTGGCTTAGAGGGTGACACCCTTACTGAGATTGTCTGAACTGAGAGCAGTCAACCTTTGCATGATATAGGAGGAAACTACCTACAGAGATCTCTTCTAGGCCGTGGGAAGTGCTAAAGATCTCCTTCAAGTCCTATAAAATATTCAAGCCACACTTTTTCCCCCCCCCCCCAAAGGATTTGCCCAAAAGGAATTTAGAATTTAATTTAATACTTACAGCAGGGGGACAGGCTTCCATGTCTGTAGCTCCATCTCCAATCATAACTACTTTCTTAAAGTGAAACTGTTCCTTCAGATGGGTAATAACCTTTCCTTTCCCCCCTGATTCAGATGTTGGTTGTGTTTCATCAAATCCTGCATATTCTCCTAGAACACAGTGGAAGGACAAGTTAGACACATAGCCTATTTTCTTGTAAATGAAGAAAGATACGTGCCTGTGGTCTTTACTTCAGAAAACAGCTCATTTCATGCAGTTCTGCAAGCCTCGCAATAGCAGCATCCCAAAAAAGTAATTAGAAGGTAAGGGTAAAAACTAGGATTTTCCTCAAGTCTTCAGTGGGGATATTTTCAAATGCTAAGCCAAAAGCAGGAACCCTGTGTGGGTATTGTTACAAAATCCATTCCCAGTCACTCTGGTCATCCTGGTGTCACCACTTCAAAAGCAGCATCCAGTACAATGTATAGAAAGTGTATGAAACACTGAGAAAGAAACAACCTTACTAACTACAGTTCTGCTTGATTACACTAGCTTAAAGTCCAGAGCAGCTCTCCTAAAGTACCTCAGTCTCCATACATACCTCGAAGTCACTGAAGGTGAAGTTTGCCTCTGAAACCAGGTGAGTGTCATGCACTCTTTGAACTTGAAGGAGCAGGAGAAAACGAAACTCTGCTGTCAGCAACTGTACCATGTTTTACCTTTGGCACAGCTTGCAATTAAAAAGTAACTACAGCTCTATTTTCAGATGTGTGGAAAATTACCTTAACTCATGTTTTTGGTAAGGTCTTGCAGATTTCCTACTTGGAGCTAGCTGGGTTGGTAACAAGGTCATGTAGGCTGGACAAGTATCTGTAGCCCTATATCTGGCAGTTTGAACCCAACATTTTAAGTGGCATTAATTAGCAGAGAAAAGAGACTTTAAGGGAATCTCACCATTAAAGTAAAACTTCAGCCTGTTGGCAAAGACGTTTGCTGTTGGAATATTCAGCTGCAAGGCCACATGCTCCACAATGCTCTGAAACCCCCCAGAGACCAGGAAGACCTGGACCCCTCGCTGATGAAGCCTGCTCACCAGCTCCCTGAGAAGAGAGAGCAGAGAGCAACCATGAGTGCCTGGCAGCATCCAGGGATAACAGGAAAGTTAAAAAAACACCTTTCCTAAACACAGCTGCTCATCCTGTGTGTTATTCCTGTGTAGTTAGGATGTGTGCTGCTGTCCAGCCCCATCCACCTCTGCTGCCCAAAGCTTTTCCTGCCTTCCCTTGTAAGTTTGTGCGCTCACCTTGCTTGGAAAGAGCTGAATAACTCCACCATGCCTAGAGACATTTACTTGATCAAAAATAAGCACCCCCTAGAAATATTTTCTTTATATTTTCATACTATTCACATTAGTTCCCTTGAACAAATGAGAGCAGACCCAACTCAGATTTATTTTTTTCTGAACTGAATTAAAGCAAAAGCAACAGCAAGAAATGAATCTATAGTGCAGAATAGAAAGGGAATGTGGAGGAGATAAAGCCACTGTGCCAAAATGCACAAGTGAAATTCTGGAAGTGTGCAAAGTGCCAACGTTTTCTCCCTCGTTTGATTCCCCAGAGGCTGGACATTGATGGCATATTTAGAGGAGGGCACCAGCAACAGAAAAGGAATCCAAAAAAGGAAAAGTTTTCAGATCCAGTTAATGTCAACAGGGCTTGAAGGCAGTTAAAAGTTTTTGGAGATTTGGCTCTAGAAGCAGGGAGGTCAGTGTGCAGCAGTGCTGAGCAGTAGGGGTGGAGGCAGCAACAGCGGAAATGCTAAAAAGCAAAGTGGAGGCTTAAAGCAGGCTACAGAGGAAAGGAGGAAGAAAAGGAAGGCATGAAAAGGAAAATCATGTGATTCTAAACAAGGAAACAATGTTCTCTTTGTAGTTACATCTAGCTATGCCTTCTACAGAAAAAGCTGAGCATGTGTTTCATTTCAAGGAGAAAATAAAAATCACCTAAAACTACTGTATGTGCTAAAAATAGACTGGGAGCTATGGCCAGATTTTGTAGGAAAGAAATCCTTTTCAATTGTTTGAAACAATTTGAATAGAAAAAATAACACCCCACCCTTTCTGTTTAAGTAGTTAATGTTCATTCCAAACCCAAAGATGAATGAGTGCATGCATATATATGTATTTCCCCTTAATGGTTTTTTAAATTTTTTTTTAGGGACTTCAGTACAGAGTGGGTAGCTCTGAACAGTGGATCCCCAAAGCTGAGTCCAGGGGTGGGACTGCACACAGAACTGTCAGAGAAAGGTAATATAACTGCAGAACAGACCAAAACAGTAGTTCATACTGGATATTAAATCTCCCAGTTCTATCATCTATCAAAAAACAGATGCCATTGACTAGATGATTTCCCATGCCCATTTAATCCTCAAGCCAGAATTTGAGCTTGCCAGCCAGAACCGGTTAGTACCCAGGTCTGTTTTCTTTTTACATGGATGCTTGGCCATTTGACATGGACCTAGGCCATTACAAGCTCCTGACATAAACTTTGTACACAGTATGGAAGTGGAGCTGGAAGGCAATTAACCCAGCTCTGTGGTCTTATAGCCTCACTAATGTCACAGGGTTTTGTTGATTTATGTCCTGTGCATTGGAAATACTTTTTTGCTGGATCATTTGAAATTCTTCTTACCTTATTCCTGGAGTTAGCTGAGGTGGGTTGTCAGATATTAATTTCTGCACTTGCTCATAGGAAGGACGTATGAGACCGAGTCGTGCTGTTAGAGCTGCTTTGAATGTCACACTGCCACCCATAGCTCTGCGGGTCCTAGGTTGTGAGCCAGAGGAAGTAAAGCAGTGACACTTAAGTTGAGGCTTCTCACAAGAACAGTTAGTTCAAGAAGCATGACAAGGAACAAGGTAAGAGCCCAGAGGTTCTAGGTGATGCTCTATCTGTGTGGTAAAGGAGAGGATCGGTACGCTGCAAAGACTGGTGTCAACCACTGGTAGATCTCCACAGATCTGAGCTCTTGTGAAAAACAGTGAGGCAAAGGAAAACTGTTTCCCTCTGAGTGCATCTGAGCCGCTGGGACCAGTATTCCCAGACTGCAGCTCGGGTGCCCTTCTCTGAAAGTAACAGAACTGCTGCTACAAGTTTCAATGGAAACAGCATCATCCTCAGCAAAGTGTTAATAGAGTCGTCTCCTCTCCTCCATCTCCTAACAAGGCTTACTAGTGCTTAGCCAAGTTTAATGATGAGGGCTGACCTTAGTCTAGCAAAAAAACTTGCATTAGAGAATTTATGTCAGTATGGTTTTGTTGAGAGGCTTCACAATTCCAAAAGAAGTTACTACATTATGCATTAATTCCACTTCTTATTCCTGAAATCCGTTTTAGATTGTAATAATCTCCTGTGACAGAGCTGAATCATCCCTATCGTAAATTCACTGTCACAAGTTAACCTTATCCATGCTTCTCTTTTGCTGCTGTGGCTGTGAGGTAAACAGCAAGCACTGTTACTTACATCTCTGCGACGGCGTCTCCCACCCCACAGAACTTGGCGAGCTCGTCGATGCCCTCTTCCCTGATGACTGTGCTGTCCACGTCGAAGCACACCGCGTCGGCGCTGCGGAAGATCTCCTTCATCTCCAGGAGGGATGCCATCCTTTTAGGAACCTTCTTACTGTGGGGAGACAAGATAAAGTCTTTCTCTGAGGGAGAGTACTGCACTGTGTCTTGAGCCATTGGTGCTGCTGGTGGGATTGGTGCGAGTAGGGACGAGCACAGCCCGGTAGCCAGCTTTTATCAAAGAGCCCGAGTGGTGGTGGGGGTCTGGCTCGGCTGCTGATTTGCTCTCTGCTGTTGCTGCCTACTGATGTTCCATTTACGTTACAGGTGGGCCGTGGAGCTTTGGGCAGTTGCTGATTTGCTCTCTGCAGGTTCAGCCCATTGATGTTCACATGGGGTTCAAGGTTGTAATACTTGGCATCTGCTGAGCCATCCGACTGCCAACTGCTGTGTGGGACTTGCAGTTCTCTGTCTCATCTTGCCCTCACCACTCAAATGGATCTTGATTTCCTATCAGACCCAGTCTACTGTGTCAAATTAGTTGCTCCAGGAGGTAGTAAAACACCCAGCTCTTAAGGATTTGCTTGATGGTACTAAGATGTAACTATCTTAAACCTGTGAGTGGTTGTCCCTAAATCATGAAGGTTTTGATCCTGATTAATATAAGCTAAATATTCTCATCAATATTCTCATCGTCTATGAATGCATAGAAGTTTTGGCCATTAGCATTATGAATTAGTCTTTTATAAAATCCATTAAAGCCTTGGGCTTTGAGAACTTTGCTCAACCCATAAAGATATTGCATAATGATACAACTATTTCCATAATGGTGCCTGACAAAAGCTGATTTTCTTCTTTTTATATCCATTTAAATATGTTGAACACTTCTTCTGCAGATAAGAAACACAAAGTGTTAATGAAGTATTTCCATACTGTACCCTACTCACCTTGTTCTTCACCCTTTCATGAGGGAATTCAGTGTGGACTTTACTAGGAATTATCCAATCTGTACATTTAGACACAAATTACACCACGTAAGCACCACGGCTGCCTCCTGAGCTGGCTTTGGTGTGCTCACTGAGAGACCACAGCTAAATAGCTAATGGTCAAAGCAGGAACAGAAACCTGTGGGTTTATTCCCACAACATACTGTAAAACTCTGGTACAGCCTTAGAAGCATCACTGAAGAATTCTCTGCTGCAGACAGCATGTGGGGTTTTATTCCGTTTTTCTATGAGGACTGCACTGTCTGTATAACAAATACAGTGCTGTACCATTGGCATGGCACCTCAGAGAAACCTGTGGCCATGGACATAAAAAGTCTCCACCTGACAGAGACTGGTCCTGAGCCAAGGCTGGGCAGTGGGCGTGCAGGTGACATGTGAATTCCAAGTTTACTTTGCATTAGCCTTGACTTGGCGTTGGCTCCACAGCCCTGTGTTTGTGTTTTCAGTGGCAGGTTTGGATTTCCTGAGCACGAGGGCTTTGACTCTAGGGCAAGCCTTGACAGCTATTGGCTTGCTATATTTGTGCAGCAGAATACAAAAACATCCACTAACATTTTTTAAATGGCAGGGCATTCATTTTTTTCCAGCCTATTGGAAATTATAAAGTCCACCAAAAGTTCAGGCCTGGGTTTGGTGCCAATTTTGAAGATTTGCTCTACTGGACAAACTGGTTGCATCACTGTGGCGTGACACTTGCGTCACGGTGTTCCAGCACCAAATCCTTCTTGTGCAAAGCCATCACATTGCCTCATGCTAACCAGGGGCTGTGGTGCAATGTCACTGCGTGGGGCCACCACACTCTGAGGTGATTTCTTGGTGAGAAGCTCAAATATACTGCTGGATATACATCTTCAAAATTTTAATCGCTCTGAGAAAAATGTTAGCACTAGAAATGCACACTGGGAGCAGGAAGGAAGGGACATTAACTCTTCCTTCTCTCTGGTAGCCACATTTCCCATACTCCTTTCCCTTCTGGCTGCCCCTTACAATGATGAGACCACTGCTGTGGTGGACTTGGAACTTTGATGGACAAAGAGACAAGTGAGAGGAAGAATTGCAGATACCAGTTCTGGAGCCGTGGTTGGGATTAACCCTGCCCTCTCCTTGTTCCATGCAATTAATCTTCCAAATGAGTTTCAAGCTGTGGTTTATAGTTCCTAAAAATGACAAGTTGGAAGGGAAGAACTGCATTTTGAAATGCAGAAACCATCAGTAGTTCCTCATCTGCCTTGGCCTGCCACCTGCTAAAATCTTTGCACCTTCTTCTGTAGCTGGGCAGTGAGTCCTGGAAAACACAGATCTGGTTTTGGCTAATGTATCATCACACAGGTTGGAGAGCTTGTGATGAACTGTAAAGTAGGGAAGCTCGTGTAAGAGCAAAGAGGAGAATCTATGACGGAAGCTTCTGCTATTGCAGGGGGTCTTGCTGGTAGGAAAAGCAAATTTTAGGAGTTAAAGATGGTTCACTTGGAGTGAAATAAGGTTCTTCTGCCCTTGTTGGCAGAGCTCCAGTGGTCACCATCAGCTCCAGAGGCTGGCAAATGACAACATGCCAAATGGTAATATGCCAGTTTCAAGAACCTGTACATTTTTTTCCCAGCCCTAAACATAGATCAGAGCATGAGGCAAGGCCATTAGTGATAGAGCAATGGGGGGAAACCCGAGCAGGAGAGATTCCTTCCCTTGTTTTCAGAATTTTCACTGGGCCATCCTGACATGGCATCCTTCACAAAGCTGCCCAAAATTGATCTCCAGGTAAGTGTACATAGGAAATAAGACACATCAGCTTGTCCACAGGCAGGTGTCACTTGGAAACATGAGCAAAAAGAGTTGAAGCTGTGTAAAAACTTTCTGTGGACAAATCTCTAACAGCTGTAGTAAGGGAACAGCAATTTTTACTTCCAGAGTGGTACAGGCCTCTACAGCTGGCAGAGATTGATACTTTGAAGTACAGGGCATCTGATTGCTTAAATGCATCCATGTTTTAATGAGATGGTAAGAAAAAAAGAAATTCCCACAAAAAAATGAGTTCTGTCTCCATATGAAAAACATAGGTAGAAAAAACTCTGATCTTTCTGCCATTGAATTTCAGATAGATCATCTATTCCTATCCTCTTACTCACATGTTGGAAAAGCACCCAAGCAGCAAACATTTCAACAGGCCTGATACTAAAGTACTGTGGGGAAAAGATGAAAAAAAGAAAATGGGGAAAAGAAGAAACAATGGGAAAAAAAGTGACTAGAGAAGATGTAAGAGAAGAGTGATGGAGAGAGGTAGGGTGAAACCTGCGATAAAGACAGAGGAAAAGGAAATCACAAGGGAAAGTGGAATTCCCATGAGATCTCCTTTCCTCCAGACTACCATTCATTAGGCCATTTGGGAAATAAAAACTTGCATTTCCACGAGTTATGTTTCGTAACAGGGAGGGTGGAGTCCCAGGAGCAAGCACAGGGATTATGTAAGGCCACATGTCAAAGGAAAACAACTGAAATCTTTTTTGTTTGTTGACCCTTCAGAGACAGGCACTTGCTGCACTGTGGAAAGCTGAAACATCTGCACTATCTGCTACATGAAATGCAAAAGGAGCAAGTGAATGGCACTCAGAACTCCAGGTGATCAGGGGCTGGTGTATCTTGAGATCTCAAAATCCTCATTGTGACTGGACTTCACTGGTTACCATGCCAGCTTTCAGAAGTGCTGCCACGCTGCTGCTTTGCATTACGTTCACATTTATTGCACTGAAAAGATGTAGATTAAGTAAATCTTCATGAAATATTATCTAAAATATCTTTTTAAGCAGATCACTCAGGAATATCCAAGTTTGCAAACAGTTCCTGGTGTTCCTGACTCACTTTCCCAGTTCAGGAGGTGTGAGTGAGCCCTTCATGGGTGTGTTGCTGCAGCAGAGTAACACTGCAGTGAGAGGAACAGAAACGCCACCACGTTAAACTCTTTCTGTTGCACTGAAGGGAAACTGCTGCTTAGAGTAAGGGATCTGGAGAAAACCATTCTTGAAACTTTTCTCAAGACCTTTTCCCACTACAGGAATGATCCTGCTATAAGAATGTTCACAGGAGCATTGCCATGGTATCCATTTAAACCGACCACTTAATGCTCATTGTTTCTAGTCCCGTGTCTGTAAAAGGGGGATAGTGTGGTGATACAGCTTTTCCATGCTGAGCTTTAATTCTTAGTCCTAGTGATGTGCTTTGAAAGCTTTAGAGGTGAGGGGATACTTTTAAGCAGATTAGTTATATTTAAACAAATGGTGACTGTTTATATCCCTGCAAGTACTGCTCTTGAAAAGTTCAGCCCATCCATCTGTAATTGCCTCTGTGGTTTTCAGTGTGAGAACAGCAAGATTCAGTCCTTACCCTCACTAGGCTTGTTTCTCTCTTCCTGCTTTCCTGTTCAGGTTTTAAAGGCAGCAATACAAACCCGTATGCAAGTCAAGAGGTGAATCATTTGCAATCTGAAGAGCAGCACCTAACAGGGAACTTATTCAAGCACCTTTTGAAAAAGTAGTGGCAAAAGGGTAGAAGGAACGTGATGGATGTTGTCATACACCTCCCAACGCTCCAATCCCCTCTTGCCTGTCCTGACAAAATGATGGTGCGTCCCCCCTGCACGATTGCATCATTCCTTCGTGCTGCTGCTATAAAACAGGCACCACAGTGCTGCTGCATTGCTGCAGCTTGCCGGGCAGCACAGCACAGCCCCAGCAGAAGAGACTCTTCATTGTCTATACTAGAAAAACACGGCAAGTGTTACGGATCTGAGCCACCAAACGCCAACCCCTTCTTCACGGAGAGAAAAAACCCGTCCCCGGTGACTTACAGTATTGTACTGGCCGTGGCTGCTGCTGCTGCTGCAAACCTCTTGGCTGCACAAGATAAGAAGGGATCAGCTGAGACCTTCAGTCAGATAAATACAACGGCACGGGCCGCGCTGGAAGAAAGCCGCATTTTGTAAATCACTCTTTTATAATCTGCTGAGCAAGCCAGCCGGGGTGGGTTTTTTTTAAACGCTTGCACACATGTAACCAGAGAAGTCCAGCTGTTCGCTGACAGGCGAGGAGAGGTGTAACCTTGCCTACGTCGGGGGAGGAGCCCGAGCCCAGTTTGGGGCGCTCCCAGCTCGGGCAGGCAGGGCCGGGCCGGGAGCAGGCTGGGTGATGGCGAGGCGGTGGTGGCGA